GCTCCTCCGGGTCTTAAAGTCCGGAGTCTGTATGAAATCACCGTTCACTGTTGCACACGGCGGCTGTAAAAGCTTTGCACTTGGTTATCTGTGTGCTGGAATGACCTTGACGTTGCCTGTCACTTACCCTGGGAGTGCAGATCAGGAGGGCGCCTCTCTACTGAAGTTCAGACCCAGCTGTGAGCTGTGCACCAACTGCTGATGAAGCTAGCAGAGAGCCCATCCAGGCATGCCTGCAGGGGGTTCCTAGAATTGTACCACACTTTTGTTGGGAAATGTCTAGGCTATTTGTACCACAGGATATTTAGCGTAGGTATAGGAGGGGGCCTCGATCCTTAGTAGCTAATATCTCCGACTGAACTGGATTTCACTTGAGAATTCCAAAATCATACGTTTGAGGATTTTGACATCTAATGCAGCCATCAAGGGCAGAAAGAAAGTGCCTGCTCTGGCCAGTTCTTCCTAGAACAGGTGTCTAAACCGCTTTGCTTTTTTTTTTTCTTTTAAAAAGAATTCACTTTTGTATTGGGAGTATCTGCATTTTGCTCAAGAAGACCACACCCTTTATCCCCCTCTGCTGTTTGCTCTTACAGACACGGTTTGGGGGAAAAATGGCTGCAAAAAAAAAAAAAATATCTGGGAAATTCTAGCTACAAGCGGTGCAAAAAGCTGCAGAATACAATGTGCTTGGCATTTCCACACCAGAGCATCCAGCCTCATAAATATGGATGTGCATTCCTGTAGCATCATTCCCAAGCATTCCATATTACAACCAAATGGCCCAAACTGCGTGAATAAAATATAGTTCCTTTTAGCTTGCATTCCAGTCGCAACAGTAGCTCCATTCATAGCCACCAGCAACACACGCTGTCAGTGTATGGACCAATTTCCACTTTCCTCTCCAGTTATAACTGTGACGCGTGCCAAGACAGCTTGTGGGAGAGATAAACTCTGGGGCCAGCTTCTAACAGCCTAATTTTCAGTAATTGCTCACTTCTATTGTGGATCCTTATTCATGACAGTCCCTGAAGAGTGAGCAAATGCAAGCAATAAAACTAATTTATTCACATGTAGTTCATGTGACACCTCAAATTACCAGATAGATTTTAGCAGTAAAGCTTTTAATTGTCAATACATCTTATAAAATGCCACAGCAGTCCAGTCTCCTTTGAGTCACATAAAGGTGTTTAGAAAAGGGACCTGCAGAGAAGGGGGGTGTGTCAGGGTGTGAGAGACCGGTCCTTAAACCCCAGAGGCTCAACCACTTGGGCCATTGGACTTCAAGTCCTGCCGCAGCCTTGGCCCACCAGCTCTTGGCTAAAAGCCACAGGACCCTCCTTTATCTGGACACACAGAGACCAGCCCTATTCCCAATCACCGTCACCTCTCCCCCTCCTGCCTGCGAGTTCCTCTCCCTCAGCTCTCCAGCCACTAGGCCGAGTCTGTTGTCTCTAGGGAATTTCAAATCAGCCTCTGTACTAAGCAGCACACTTTTATCCTCAATAGCAACAACGCTATTTATTTTGTCAGGATGCACATGTCTGTGACATAAATCACCCCGTTGGCATGATCGCATACTCCCCATCCCTCAGCCCTCTTCCCCTGCAGGTCCCCAGCTGTCGGAACCACTGTCCTGGGCCCTTCTCCCTCTTCTTTCCTTCATTCACACTTTCTGTCGCTGCCGTCGCCTCCCTCCCTGTCCTGAGCTTTCCACTTCATTTCTTCCCATTCCCAGTTGGTTCTGTGCCCTTCACTGTCCCTGTCCTTATCCCATCCCCTGGTTTTCCTTGCTTCTCCTTCCTGCCCCCTTTGTGGCCACCACAGTCATTCTGTCTTTGGACATTGCTTCTGTCTAGGCTGTGATCACGTCTGCCGCATTCTTTCTTGTCCCTGAAGCATCAGGACAAGCCAACAACAGTATTCTAAAGAACGTACTGGTCAAGTGAAGTAGCCCATCTGTGCTTCTTGTGGTGATGGCAAGACTCCTAATGAAGAGGCAGTGTAGTGTTCTGCCAGGAAGTGCATGATTAATGTCCTCTCCATTACAGGTATAAGAAATGGCTTTTCATCTCCACTGCTCAATGGGCACATTACAGTTAGGAGGACAATTAGGTTTTGGCACTCTATAGCACAGTATGGTAGCTATGGTTAATAATTTATAGTCTATTTCGAAACAGCTAGAAAAGCGAACTTGGAACATTCCCAACACAAAGAAGTGAAAAATGTGTGAGGTGATGGATATGCCCATCACCCTGGGTTGATCATTATATATTATACACATGTGCTGAGACCTCACGATAGTCCACAGATATGGACAGTTATTATTCACCCATTGAAATTGAAGGAAAACTCAGCCAAGCGGAAAATGCCTGTGATCCCCACTCCCAGAGGGTGCAGGCAGGAAGATCCAGAGTCCACGGCCAGCCTAGCTACAAAGCAAGATGCCGTCTCAGGAGAGAAAGGACGGTTCCAGCTCCCCACATCCCATCCCAGAGCACTGGCAACAAAAGCCCCTGCCAATGGGAGTCTCCCCAGTCCACGGAGATTTAGAACAGTTTCAGGCTCGTGGCCAACACTCCTAAGGAAGGCTGGAGTGGGAGGCCACAGGAGGCACCCCCACCCCTTCTAAACCCAGATCCCCACCCTCTCCCTGCAGGTCTGTGGCTGTGACTCGGTGTCCTCTTGTCTGACTCCATGGGCTGTTGTAAATGTGCCGCTTCTTGACCTGCTTAGAGTACATACTAACTGCCGCTTCCTGCTCAACTTGTTCTTGGAAAACATCCCTTTTCAGCAACCTGCAAACCTCTTGGGGCTGCTGAAGCGCTCCTTCCCTGGCTGAATGGGGGGCTTTGGGTGTGCATTCTTCCTGTGAGGCCAAGAGCCGGGTGCAGCTGAAATCACAGTGGACCAAACGCAAGCCCTCGCACCTGACTTGGCATGCTGGGTGGCTGAGGGTGGGGTGTGCTGTGCAGAGAGGGGAGTCTTGGGGGGTCATCTCTGTCATGCATCTGCAGTCTTACTGCTCACTGGGCAAGGCTAGGGTGGGGGACGAGCTGGGTGAATGTGGATGGACTTGGTCCCATGGAGTTCTAAGGGAGAGGAGACATTTCCCTCAAGGGATCCTTTTGCCAGCGATCTTTAGAGAGGAATTAAATATGCCACCTCATCTCTTTATGTAGCTGTCCCTGCAAGAAGGAAGTACACTGTTACATTTATGAGAGCTGGTGTGAAGTACAATGACCGTAACTCTGGATGTCATTTTAAAAGACCTGGGCTCAGATTCCTTTGGGGCCACTCAGCCTTCCCGAGAGCTGGGGCCAGTCACTTCTCCCCAAGGAACCTGGACTCTGTTTTGCAAAGTGACTGGGTTTGTCTTAGTTTGGTTTCCTGTCCCTGTGATAAAACACTGACCAAAAGCAACTTGGGGAGAAAAGGCTTTATTTCATCAAGCAGATTATAGTCCATCACTGAAGGAAGTCCGGGGTAGCAACTCAAGGCAGAGGAACCTGGAGGCAGGAACTGAAGACTGGGGAGGAAGGCCGCTAAAGTGGCTCACTTTCACCTACCCTTCTTATACCACCCAGAACCGCCTGCCCAGGGCTGGCACCGCCCACAGTGCGCTGCACACTCCTTCATCCATTAACAGTTAAGAAAACTCCCCACAGATAGGCGCCCAGGCACTTCCGATGGAGGCGAGTCTTCAGCTGAGACTCTCTCTCTTCCTGGGTGCCTCTAGTTTATGTCAAGTTCAGAAAACCTAGCCAGCACAGGCCTGGAGCAGTTGATTGCTAAATCTATTCTGGAAAGTTCTGTTGGCTTAACTATTAGCCAGATTAAAGATAAATATCAAACCGTATTATGTTTTAAGCATATATGGCTGTAGATCCAGAGCAGTGGTTCTAAGCCGGGGGCAGTTTACCCCCAGGAGACACCGGGCAGCATCTGGAGTCAGTTTTCCTTTTTGAATCTGGCCCTCACCCAATCTACTGTTTGAATGATTGTTTACAGCCCACCTCGCCCCTCCCTTCAGCTGCCACCTGCCAATCATCAGTCCTTCTGTGGCCCTTTCCTCCCCGCCCCGACCCCGGGTTCCTCATGGCCCCTGTTTCAGGATACGTAATTGTAGCAAAGAAAGAAAACTGGATCATTCCCATCCCTGATGTGATGTCAACATTCATCAAGGGAAGTCTTGCTGCCCCTGGGACCTTATTCACCTCGGCCTGTGACCTGCTGTGACCAGAGCATGTGGTTTGGACATGGGAATCCCAAGCTAGGTGAAGATGTCTAAAGATTCCCAGGGAATGTATCCAGAAGGGACTAGCGAGGTCAAGTTGTACCCACCCCAAGAGTCCTCATTTCTCCCCATGGTTGCTACGTTTCGTGTAACTATTTCCTGTACAATTTCTTCATACATTAAAAAGACTACGTAGATGGATCAAAAAAAATTAAAAACACCTATTTCCAACCCTGGTTCAGAAACATGGTCCCTGTACCTACCGGAAGCTGTTATTTCCACTTAAGAGGGGGCTGGAGTTTAAAAGCTTGGCTCTGAAGATGGAAACAAGTGGACTCACTGCAGGACTACGTGGAGGTCCCTTGGCATGGTAGTGGGCATGACTCTCCCCGGGGAACCTGGTCATGGCTGTGGAGCCTGCTTGGCTGTTTAAGAATGTCTTCCCCTTGTTTCTCCCCAGCGACAGTTGGGCAAGAATATCAAGTTTGGGCAGCGGCCATCTAACGGTATTCCCATGAAGAAGGCAGGCAGTACAGACGCCAGCTCAGAAGAGGACTTCTTCCTGACCAGTCCCATGGAAATTGTGACTCAGCAGGATATTGTCCTTTCAGACACAGAGAACAAAGTAAGTCACCTCCAAGGGGGGGGGGGGGGGAATTTGATTCTGATAAGCCAGAGAGCAGGATGCTGGACAGTGGACAGTGTTATCTGATGACCCTGCGGTCTACACTGGGGAGGTGGGGGGAAGAATAAGATGAGAAGTTTTTCTGGTGCTTAGGTTGTGGCCTGAGGGTACTGAGGACCTATGAGGAAGATGGGGAGGAGGAAGGCACAGGCCCTTTGTAGATACCCTCGCCAGCGCCTTCTCCAGATCCTTCAAGGCTCAGGTGGTTGAGGTGCCTCTGGGAGATCGTGCCTGGCCTCACCCCCCGCAAAGTTTCATTGGCTCCTCTGTACTTTTGAATTCATGTCTCCCATCCATATCTGTTTGTATAAAATTGTCTCCTCTCCATCTCTACATGCTGGCTTTTTTGTAGCTAAACCTGCATCTTCCACATCTCTGTCTCCTTGGGACTTGGAGACTGCCAGCTGAGTAGCACTGACTAATTATTTGTCAGATTGGACTAATTTAAGAGGGATGGAAAAGACAGCAGTGGGGGTCCTGTGAGAGGACCTCACACAGGCCAGCTTGAATTCTCATCAGCTGGAAAGGAAGTCACATTCCGGCACCTGGCTGTCTAAATTTGGTGTGTTGACACTTGCTAGGGACACTTTGAATAGATCCTGGATGCTGAGTTCCTCCAGCAACAGAGGAGATGCCTTCGTATAGGAGAAAAGGCTCGAAAACCCTCTGAACAGCCACAGTCTGGAGTTCTCTAGTGACAAGTGGACGCTGAGTCTTTCTTAAAGCGTTCGCTACACTTTGCCTATCAGAGTTCCAGAATCTGGGTATTTGTTATTAAAATGGGCATAGCTATTATCGGCTAATAATGTCAGAAGAGTAGGAATCAAGACAAGCTGTTTGCAATGAAAACAGACAGTCCATCCTGCTGTCACCTCTGCTGGGGACTGACCACAATGACCTCTGGCACCTACGGCACATGGATGGTGGCTGAAGCAGGGACCGGGGTCCTTCCTTCCTTGTGGATTTTTAAATGCTCTCCCCGACCTGCCCAGTATCAGGCAGCAGTGGCAGCAACAGCAGCAGCAGCCATCGCTTCAACACAGGGAATTCATGAGGACTGAAAAATGTCCTTGCTGTATTACCTACGATTTCGAAGCAGGAGGTGCTGTGGCCTCGGGAACAAGGGAGGCCTTTGTTCAGCAGACCTTGTCTTAGGTGTGGGTGTAACAGAGATGAGCAAGATTTGTCACAGGAGGGCCTCTGGTGGCTTACATCCTAATGAGAGGGTGTCACAGGGCACACAAGTCACCGTGCAGGTAAAGATAATCGTTTCAGATCAGGCAAAAGGCTGCCTGCCGAGAAGACGACAGTAAAGTAACGCAGCGGGAGAGAGGTCGCGTTTTCAGATGTGGGCTTGGGAACAGACCAAGGGGTGACAAGATGGAAGAATGTTCCAGGCGCAGGAATGAGTCAGAACAAAGACCAAAGAGAACAAGCTGGTCTTAAAAAGAAGACCAGAAGGAAGCTGGTCAGGTGTGCCTGGATGGGGTAGATGCCAAGACCAGATGCTGGAAACCGTGAAAAGGGAGAATTCTGTTTTGAGTTCTGAATAATCGTGAGTAAGGAAGTCTCTGGAGCTGTCTTGTGTTCTTTTAAATTTGTGTGTGTGTGTGTGTGTGTGTGTGTGTGTGTGTGTGTGTGTGTGTGTGTACTCTATGGTGCACACTATGGCATGTGTGTGGAATTCAGAAGACAGTTCTTAAGAATTAGTTCTCTCCTGCCCCTGCTCCCTTATGGGTTCTGGGAACTGAAGCCAGATCATCAGGATCTCCACCTACCCATTGAGTCATCTCACAAAGCCCTGACTTCTGTGTCCAAACATCCGTTTCAGTGTGCAGCCTAGAGCGGGCTGGGCAGGCTGACCTGCCACCACGGGGTAGAAGTACAGCCACCTTCTGGGGATGTTCCCAGGGCAAGCCTGGTGTGCCAGCCTCAGCTTTTCCTCTCTGGTCCTTCACCTTCCCAGCCCAGCCCTCTGCCTGGGGCTCTGGGAGGATCTTCCGTCCTCACTCTCTGCTTAGGAGTCTCAGGGGAAAGGTAAAAGGCTGCCATAAAGTCCCACAGCTCCGAGGTGGGAGCTGTGTGTGACACGGCCCCATTTCCCAGGCAAGGTGGCCGCCAAGCGGCCTCTCAGCCTCTCTCAGGCCTTGAAAGGGAGCACAAGGACTTGAGGCTGGGAACTAACCAGGAAGGAAATGCGATGAACTCAGGAAAAGGAGGATTGTGTCCCTCTGTGGCTCTGATAGTCCCCCGGGGATCCTTGTTGGTTACAGGAGAGCAGCTGTCCCCCTGTGGAGCAGGAGGCCACCCTGATCAGGCGTGGACAGTGCTGGTTATTTGCCCAGTACATCCCATCCCCACGTTGAACTCAAGCGCTCTGTCTTCTCTTCCAGTCCAGTGATACGCCAAGCTCCTCCAGTCCTCTGAATCTCCCTGAAGCTGGAAGTGAGATGGAAGAGAAGGTAATGGGATTTGAACTTTTTATTTGGCCTCTTCCCCCCCCCCTTTTTTTGTTACAATCTGCTGTTTCATTTTCTGTTCATAAACCAGAGCCACCAGGGGTAGAGGTTAAAGCAGCCATCCATTTCCATGGCAACACAACTGCTAGATCTGAGCCCTGCTCTGAAGAATAGCCACACTCCCATAATGCTTTGGGAGTTTTAGACAGCGATAGCTTCCCTGGATACAAATGGATCGTGCACTTCAAGACATTGTGAATCTGTTGAGAGGGGCATTCTAGAATGTCTGCAAGGTACTCAAGACTGTAAGGGAGAGTCTTCTATTATTTACATGTGTAAGAAACAAACCCATACCCAACCTTAGCTTTCTCTACTTTTACACACACACATTTTTAGTGCCCCTTTTATTATTGTGTGTTGGGGTGTGGGTGTGGAAGGTGGGAGGGTGGGGTACACCTATGTATATGCATAGACAGGCTAAAGGCCAAAGGTCAGGAGTCCCACTCTGTCACTCTCCACATTGTTCCCTGGAGATAGGTTCATCTCCCTGAGCCAGGGGATCTTTCTCTCTCTGCCCTCCACAGTGTTGGGGTTACAGGTACATGGATGGTCATGCCCTGTTTTTTTCATGGGTGATGGGACCTGAACTCAGGGCTTCATGCTTGCCCTTACTTACAAATCACTTTCCTCCCCTATGGCCCGAGGATTTTACCTTCACTGAGGAGTCTAGACCCTTTGCCCTGAGCATGTGTCCTGTAGGGGCTGAGTTTCTCATCTCTACAAGGGGTAGGCCTTCTCTGAAGAAACTGAAGGATGTGACAGTGGCCCCCTCTGCACCCGTGAGGGGGTGGCTCTGAACAGTACCACTATCCAGACAGAAATGAGGGCCAGTGGGGATAGCTACAAACAAAGGCTGGTACTGAAATCCCAGCTTTGAGCGCCTCTCCCTGCCTTCAGTCCAGCACCTTGGCTCTGTTATTCCCCCAGGTGTCTCTCAGGGAATGGAAGAAATGTTGAATTCTTCTCAGAATTTTATATCTGTTATAAGAATCACCATAAGCAATTAAAAGCTACGAGGCCAAAGACTGGACATATTTGTTCTCTGCTTCTGGATTCATGCAGACTACATAGTTTTTGTTGGTTGTAATTGTGTACTAGTTTGGTCTCTTTATCTTTTGTGAATAAATGTGGAAAGTAATTGCAAAAATGCAAGCCCTTTGCGCGCAAGCCCCACGGACTTTACACATTCAGTGCAAACAGACTGCAAGCCTGGCCCTGTCCAGTGCTGGCCTTTGTGCACAGAGCTTCTGGGGACACGGAGAGGGCTGTGAGTGCCCCCTGCTGCACGTTGGCATGGGAACACTTGGCTCACCAGATGTCTAAATTCTCTAGATTCCAGGTACGGATGGCTTCCTACCAGAGTTCATTCAGTGTGTCCTCTGACTGAGGCTGTGCCATGGCCACTAACTTCTCTAAATGTGTGCAGTTTTTGTCCTTTTTAAAAAGGTTATTTATTTTGTTTAGGAGTTTGCCTATGTGTATGTATTTGCACCATGTGCATGCCTGGTGCCTATGGAGGGCAGAAGAGACTATCGGATTCCCTAGAACTGGATAATGGAGTTTTGAGCCACCATATGGGTGCTGGGAAGTGAACTCAGGTCCTGTGTAAGAGCAACACATGTTCTTTACTGCTGAGCCATCTCTCCAGCCTCTTAAATTATTTTTTGAGACAAGAGTCTCCTGTAGTGCAGGCAAGCCTCGAATGCACTATGTGGCCAAGGATGCTCTTCCTGTTTCCATCTCCCAATACTAAGATTACAAGTATGTGTGCCGTGCCGGAGTGGGGCATGGTCTTTTAGTGAATGAATCTTCATTTCAGAACTGCAGGCTGTTCCAGTTTCCTTTGGAAATGGCACTTATGCCACTCGGTTATTTTTTTTTTACCAGAGCACTTTGCCAGCTTTTTGATGTACTAAGCAGTCTATGGTTTTGAGTGATCGTGTTGAAACATTTTTAAAATTTCAATATTTTATTTATATCTTTGACAGTTACATACTTGTATACATATCTTGATCATATCCACCCCCTATTCCTCCCACTCTCTTCCCCCAGGCCTTCTCTCATTACATCCCCCTCCTTACTTCATGCCCTCATGTAAAAAAAGAAAAAAAAAAACTCACTGAGTCTTATTAGAGCTGCCCATATGTTCAGGGGTGTGCTGCACGGAATCTACCAGGGACCACACCCCCAAAGAAAATTGACCCTCTCTTCCCCAGCAGCCACCAACTACAAATAGCTCCTCAGCCAGGGGTGGGGACCTCAGGAGCTTTAGTCCCATCTCAGCCATATGTATTGACTGGCTTGATCAGGTCCAGGCAACCACACGCGCTAAGAGTTCATGCGTGAAACATTGATATTATGTCAAGAAGACATTTTTCAGCTTCCTCCATACAGCCGCTTCTCCTCAACGCTTTGATCAGTAATGAGTCTCTGCAGAACCACTGCCCACCACAAGAAGAATTTCCTCTGACCAAAGTTGATAGTGGCACTCAGTCTATGTGTGTAAACATAAACACTACACGGAAATTTGACGAGGAGACCATTTAGCAAAACAGTTATAGTAAGTTCCCCCTGTGATCTATGACCTCCCTAGCCGTGACCTTTTGACCAGGTTTACAGTCCCAGTCATGAATTCTTTTCCTCTGGAGCAAACAGAAATTGGGGCATAAGTAACAGTCCACTGTACTCTGGAGTCTAAAGGAAACTGCTGCATTCTGTGGCCCACAGCATCCTTTGCCACCTCCCCGGGCTTCCTTCTTAGGAACTCTGGAAGTACTGAGAATGGGTGCCTACCATGGGGTTCCCCACAAGAGGAACCTTAGAGACTCCCTCTTGTCTCTTCTCCAATGCTCTGTCTCTTACTTTCCAGCAGCCCCCTTGATTCCAGAATGAACTAGGACCTTACTACCATACATGGGAGATGCTGGCATTAACTGGGCCCCACTGTGTTCTAGGCACCGTGCTGAGGGCGTTGTAAGAGCAGCTTCTCCCAGTGGTGGTGTCCCAGGCCTTTAATCCCAGCACTCGGGAGGCAGAGCCATGCGGATCTCTGTGAGTTCAAGGCCAGCCTGGTCTACAGAGCAAGATCCAGGACAGGCACCAAAACTACAATGAGAAACTATGTCTCAAAAAAACCAAAAAAGAGGGGGGGGGGGGGAATGGGGCTGCTTCTCTTAATCCCCACCACAGCCCTATGAAAGGGGTGCTGTTGACATTTTTACAAATGAAGAAACAAACTATTGAGTCCTGCATCCCCCAGGGTCACCCAGATATAGTTGGTAAAGCCTATGCTTCCAAAATACCAAGGACCACCCACCACTGAACCTGTACTTTCTCAGTCAAGTTCTCTAAAAAAAATTACTGTGGCTAGGGTAGTTCCAGTGAACTCTCCCCATCTCAATATACCTGCCCGTATGTTGCAGCCAGAGCTGAACCCCTAAGCATTTGGGCCACAGCCATGCCCTCCTCCATCCAGGAGCTGGCAGGTGGAAGGAATAATTCCACCTTAGGGAGGGGACATACCTGGCCTCTGTGCCCAGAGATTGTCAGGTAGGAATTGGATACTAAGGGCCTGGTGTGCCTGCACCTCCACAGCATCCTTGGCATCTATTACCTGGGGAGGAAGCGTTGACTTCCTCAGGCATGCCCAGATGCCCCCCCTCCCTGCACCTGGTCCCTGTATGCACTGTTTCCTGGTCCTGGTGACCCTGATCAAGGGAGAAGTGTCGGAGATGTCCCTTTATGAGTTTATATTATTATTGTGTGATAAAATACCATGACCAAAGCAGCTTATAGAAGCAGGAGTTTCTATGAGCTGACAGTTCCAGAGGGTTAAGTCTGTGACGATGGAGAGGAGGTGTAGTGTCTAGGGCAGGAAGCCGAGGGCTCACAGCTTGACCCACAAGCAAAGGAACAGAGCACACTGGGAATGGCCCTGAAGTTTTGAAACACACTTCCTCCAGCGAGGCCACACCTCCCAAACTTACCCATATAGCACTGCCATCTCAGGACCAAATATTCAAACATCTCAGACTATGGGGGACATTCTCATTGAAACCACCAAGGCAGTCAAAGGCTAAGGAGCAAGCCCCTGTGACAGAATCCAGAGCAGACAACAGGCATCTTGCATGGAGAAGCTAGAGAAGGAGAAATGTGTGCAGCTACTGGCTGATGGTTCGAAGCCCAGACCAGGTGCAGCATGGACCAGCAGTGGACATGGAGGACACTTGCAGGATGTCAAGCAGGGGCAGGACACAGGCGAGGCCCGCAGCTCTCTACAGCTGGTTCCCCTCTCCTGTGTCTCTGGCCTGCCTCTGAGCCTCTCTTCATCCCCTGCAAGCCAAAGAAACCCTTGGCTTCCTCCCCCCTCAGAAGCTAGGTGGGAACTGACTGTGCGTTTCAGAATTCTGTATTGTGGGCTGACGTTGACTCTCACCGAAACAACATCCCTTGGACTAGGCTGGGCCAACAGAACCCAGTGAGCAGTGCCATTGTTGTGGGATTCCCTGTTCGTTGTGTTCCGATCCGCGCTGACTTTTCTATCCAAATCCGTCCGTAGGTTGTTCCAGTCAAACCCTCCCGGCCCAAGCGGCACTTCTCTTCTGCGGGCACCATTGAAAGTGTCAACCTCGACGCCATCCCCCTGGCCATCGCGCGCCTGGACAACAGTGCAGCCAAGCACAAACTCTCGGTGAAGCCGAAAAACCAGCGGGTGTCAAGGAAGCACAGGTGGCTTGCCCAGGTGTGTAGAGCCTGTCTCAGCTGGTGAGGCAGGTGCCCGTGCTCGTCCGGCACTAATGCTGCCCCGGGGGCTGGGCTGGGCTGGGGCAGAGCCCTAGTAAATTGTAGGTCTCTCCCGATCAGGAACTTGAGTGTCCAGCAGTGGACAGGGATCAAGAGGTCTGCATACCCTCCATGGCCCAAGGCTGGAGGACCTCAGGGTGTTGCCTGTAGAGGGTGCCAGATGCCTGTTTGTTTGGGGGGCAGAAAAGCAGGCCAGCTCTGCTTAGCCGAGGTTTTCTAGGGTGGGCTTCCAAGTCACAAGCTTCAGGAGACAATAAGGAAATCCAAATCTTTTTTTTTTCTCATCTTCGGAATGCCGTCCTTTGGGTTATTGTTTTTCCTCTTGTTAGTTCATACTAAGAAAAATAATTTTGGAAACAGCAAACGAAGGGGCCTAGAGGGCAAAACAAAAAAAATATTCTTTCCTCTCTTCCCTCTTCCTTTGTATGACCAGTGCCTGAATTCACCTGGGAAGGAGCACGCACATTTTGAGACCCCCAGTGAATGCCCTGTATATACTGTTTTATCCCATGCTTAATATAAATGTATACATACTTATGATAAAGTTTAACTCCTAATTAGGGGTGATACAAAGATTTACAACAATAATCAATTAGAACAATCATAATGACATACTGTACTAAGTCATTTAAAGCATATTAATTATTACTGGAGATTTAGTATTCAATTGTCCTTGGGCAATTGAAACGATGGGAGCAGGACTTTTGATAAAGGGAATTTAGTTACTGCTCCCATTTCTGTGACAAAATATCCAACAAAAGTCCACTTAAGGAAGGGTTGATTTTGCCCACAGTTTGAGTAGAGTCGATCATGTTCCAGAAATCATGGCCGCAGCAGTGCGAGCCAGTAGTCACTTGGCATACACGGGAAGCAGAGATAAACGTTAGCGCTCAGCTCGCTTCCTCCTCTTTCTCCTTGTTACTCCTACCAGGACCCCAGCCCTTAGGATGGCGCCACCCACACTCAGGCCGGGCCTTCCTACCTCAGTCAGGCCATTCTGGAAACAGCCAAAGGTGTGTTTCCGTGGTGATTCTAAGTCCAGTCAGGTTGACAACGAGGCTCAACCATCATGGGCAGCTGCAGGCACCGCTGTGTCTGTACTGGGGAATACCTGCCCTCTTGCAATTAAGAGGACCACCTGCACGGTGACAGGGAAGAGTCGGGGTCATGTGGGAAAAGGCTGATTCTGCTTTTTTTTTTTTTTTAAAGATTTATTTTATTTATTATGTATACAGTGTTCTGCCTGCATGTATCCCTTCAGGCCAGAAGAGGGCACCAGATCTCATTATGGATGGTTGTGAGCCACCATGTGGTTGCTGGGAATTGAACTCAGAACCTCTAGGAAGAATAGTCAGTGCTCTTAACCTCTGAGCTATCTCTCCAGCCCTGCTTTTTTTTTTTTAAATCAGGATCGTCAGAATGAGCCAGGCAGCTTTGAGAGTCAGTCTTCCCTGGACCAGAACGGGCAGCCAGGAGAAGACAAGCACATCTGGCATGAAGAGGAGCCAGAGCCTCAGGATTCCCACGAAGAGAAAAGACTCCAGGAAGAGTATTGGCGGGAACTTGAAGCCAAGTGCAAACGGCAAAAAGCCGAAGCCGCGGAGAAGAGGCGCCTGGAAGAGCAGAGGCGGCAGGCGCTGGAGAGGCGGCTTTGGGAGGAGAGCCTCAGGCAGGAGCTGCTGGAGGAGGAGGAGGAGGAGGAGGAGGAGGAGGGCGAGCAGGCCGACTTGCAGCTAGAGGCAGGGAAGGCTCATCCCGGGGAAGGGCGGCCGCCTGCCCTGGAAGAGCAGGGTTGTGCAGAGCAAGAGCTGGAGGAAGCCGACGACCCCGGGCGCCTGGAGGCAGAAGAGCGCAGGCGTGAGCAGGAAGAGGCCGAGAGGCAGGCGGAGAAACTGAGGCAGCGCGAGGCCGAGAGGCAGGCGGAGAAACTGAGGCAGCACGAGGCCGAGCTGCAGGAGGAGGAACTGAGGCAGCGCGAGGCCGAGAGGCAGGCGGAGAAACTGAGGCAGCGCGAGGCCGAGCTGCAGGAGGAGGAACTGAGGCAGCGTGAGGCCGAGAGGCAGGCGGAGAAACTGAGGCAGCGGGAAGCTCAGAGGCAGGAAGAGGAACTGAGGCAACGGGAGGCCGAGAGGCAGGAGGAGGAACTGAGGCAGCGGGATGGCCAGAGGCAGGAAGAGGAGCTGCGGCAGCTCGAGGCCCAGAGGCAGGAGGAGAAACTGAGGCAGCGCGAGGCTGAGAGGCAGGAGGAACTTAGGCAGCGCGAAGCCGAGAGGCTGGAGGGAGAACTGAGGCAGCGCGAGGCCGAGAGGCAGGAGGAGAAACTGAGGCAGCTCGAGGCCGAGAGGCAGCGTGCTCAGGAGGAGGAAGCCAGGAGGATGCTGCAGGAGTCGAGGCAGGAAGAGGAGGAGGAGGAGGAGGAGGCCAGACGCACAGAAGAGCTGAAAGGGCGGGAAATGGACGAGGGCCCACAGAGCCCCGAAGGAGAGAGCCAGCCTGGGCTAGCAGACGAGGCTGATCAGCAAAGCCCACTGCAGCAGCGGGACCTTGAGAAGCCAGAGGAACAAGAAACCCCGGAATCCGCGGGGCAGAAAGAGATGGCCCAGGAGCAGACGGAAGAGGCCAAGGTGGCCAGCGAGCCGGCAGGGCAGAGAGGAGACCCGGACGCGGAGTCCGGTGGTGTAGACGTGGAAGGGGGAGAAGCCACCCAGACAGACATCCCCCTGCCGCAAGAGGGGCAGATGGGCGGAACGCCGGCCTCGGAGGACAGGAACGAAGCTGTCGCTGCAGATAACGACCGGAAGGTGGAGGAGCTCCGCTGGCAGGAGGTGGACGAGCGGCAGACCATGCCCCGGCCCTACACGTTCCAGGTGTCCTCCGGGGGTAGGCAGATCCTCTTCCCCAAAGTCAACCTGAGCCCGGTGACACCCGCCAAGGACGCGGCGAGCCTGGCCCCAGTGGCCCAGGAACCGCCGGTGCCCCGCGGTGGCGCCCCGCACGCCCTGCCCTCGGCGCTGAGCATCCCCCACACGGCCATCCTGGTCACCGGAGCGCAGCTCTGCGGCCCGGCCGTCAACCTGAGCCAGATCAAGGACACGGCCTGCAAGTCCCTCCTGGGCCTGTCGGAAGAAAAGCGCCCGGTGGACGTCCCCGCGGTGGAGCCCAGGGCCGGTGGCGGCAAAGCCAGGCCTCCCCCGGAGGCGCCGAGCAACGCCGGCGCGCTAGCCGAGTGGGCTTCCATTCGATCCAGGATCCTGAAGAACACGGAGGGTGACCAGCGTGGTGACAGAGAGCCGGCCAGAGCCGCCGGGGACGAGCCCGCTCCCCGAGCTCGGAGCGATTCCCGAGGGAACGTGCACAGGACGCCGCCGGGCAACGCCAAGTTCTCCATCATGTCGGCCTGGCAGAAGTTCTCGGACGGCGGGGCAGAGACCTCCAAACAGAGCTTGGACGGTGAAAGCATAAGGAAAAAGCCGGGGCCAGCTCCGGGCGAAGAGACAGCACCCCAGCCTCCGCCTGCAGCGGCTCCCGAGCCTCGGAAGGGCCTGGAGAAGCCAGAGGTGAGCCAGGAGCCCCCAGACACCACCGACGGATGCAAATTTGCCAAAGACCTTCCATCTTTCCTCGTTCCAGGCCTGCCTTCTCCGCAGAAAGCTGCTTTCCGCACCGAGTCCACGACCACTTTGGACAGCGAGACCACGAGTGACGTAGGAAAGCCAGATCCTGTGGTGCCGGGAGGTGAGGAGAAGGCCTCGCCCTTTGGAATAAAACTGAGAAGGACCAACTACTCCTTGCGCTTCCACTGTGACCAACAGGCCGAACAGAAGAAGAAAAAGAGGCACAGCAGCACAGGAGACACTGTGGATGGTGGCACCCCCGCAGCCGGGAGCGACCCTGGAGAGAAAGAGCCCGAAGCGGTGACCCTCAAGCATGGCGCATCCCTTCCCCAGGAGAAAAAGCCAGCCCTAGCCCCTCGGAGGGACTCCCCCGAAAGCCCTTCTGTCGGTCGCTCGGTTGCTGTAGCCCAGGCGGGGCTACCACCAGCCAGTAGCCAGACCCCAGCTCCAGAGCAGGACAAGGCAGCAAGCAGAACGCCACCAATGCAGAAGCCGGCCCTGGCTCCCAAGCCCGCCAGCCAGACCCCACCGTCGTCCCCACTCTCCAAACTGAGCAGACCCCACTTGGTAGAGCTGCTTGCTAGGCGGGCTGGGAAGGTGGATTCCCAGCCGAGTGAGGCTTGCAAGGAGAGCAGAGAGAGCCAGGAGAGCAGTGATAACCAGCCACCCTCACCATCCCTGCCAGAGGAGCCGAAGGGGCAGAAGAGGGATGAGGAAGAGGTGCCAGAAAAGAAACCCGCTTCCCCGCCTCTGCCAGCCAGCCAGCAAGAGAGACCTTCCCTAACTCCTGAAACAGGTAGAAAAGGTATGTGGCTGCAGTTTGAATGCCCAGCGTCATTCGTGGAGAGCGAATTGAGAGGGAGCCCGGGGAACTAGCTCTGGGAACACCTCAATTTAGAAACAAGTTTGCCCCAAATCAGTCCCTTTACATTTTAACATCCTTTTGGATTGAAATGTAGGCCCAGTTAACACAGATAGCATTAACCATTTTGAGCAGGTCTGTAGAGGTGATCAAAAGTAGAGTTTTCTAGACCAGAGACTGCCTGGGGGGGGGGGGGGGGCAGATGCAGGGGGGAGGGGGGAGGGACCCTGGAGCTTCGCTGTGTTATGTAAAATGCACTGAACAACCTTCTCCTGCAGCAGACTTCCAGTAGTGGGGCCTTTAATCCCAGCACTTGGGAGGCAGAGGCAAGCGGATCTCTGAGTTCAAGGCCAGCCTGGTCTACAGCCTGAGTTCCAGGACAGCCAGGACTACACAGAGAAACCCTGTCTTGAAATGTCAGAGCAATCCTTGGCTCTGACTGCCTCTTCATACTAAATGTGAGGTGGCTAGATGGTCCGCTGAATTAGCTCTTGTGCTTTGTAAGAGTGTTCACCTAATCTTTCTACAGACGAAGTCTGGGTCGTGGCCATGAAGTTTCCCTTTTTAAGTGTTTAGGTTTGGCGGGGGAGGGGTTTTCTTCCTTGAGGAGTGTTGGATTGGTTACTTGTCTCCAGTTATGGAAGCCCTGGAGGAGTACTGCGGTACTGCTGTGAGTGTGCCATGCCAGAAACCGTAGGTGGACATGATGATGTCTTTCTGCGATGTCAGAGTTGATCAAATAACAATTAATTCACAAGCTATATCAATTTTATTGTTAACCATTTGCCAAGTAGTCTCTATTTTCCTTGGCCATTGGCAAACCAAGTTCTCTTATCTTAATTACTAATATTAAATCTCATATCACACATTACACCTCATAAATACAGTAAACACATGAGTAACCAGAGAAGAAAACAATAATAAACCCAGGAGGAGGGGCTGGAGAGATGACTCCGTGGTTAAGAGCACTTGTTCTTACAGAGGACCACGGTTTGATTCCCAGAATGGCACCTCACACCTCTCTATAACTTACTTCAGTTCCAGGGACTCCAGCACCCTCTTCTGGCCTTCCTGGACACCAGGCACACTGCAGCACAGTTGCATGTGTGCAGGCGAAAACATCCATACACGTAAAATAAAGTCTTGGGAACACACACACACACACACACACACATTCGGGGTGGGGGAGAGAGAGAGAGAACCACACAGAACCAGGGAAGCAGGAATTCCGTGCTAAACAAGCCTCAGGTCTTAGTATTGAGTCCAGCTGGAGGTGAAGTACCATGGAGCCATGGAAAGGGTTTGGTGTCTTTATGGGGTATAGGTGAGCGGGCTGCATCCTTCCCCCATGTGGTGTGTTCTATAAATCCTTAGGCTTAGTCTTTCTTTTTTTTTTTTGGTTTTTCGAGACAGGGTTTCTCTGTGTAGCTTTGGAGCTTGTCCTGGAACTCACTCCGTAGTCCAGGCTGGCCTCGAACTCACAGAGATCCGCCTGGCTCTGCCTCCCGAGTGCTGGGATTAAAGGCGTGCACCACCACCGCCCGGCCAGGCTTAGTCTTTCTAAAATGATTTGAATATGCCTGTGTGCCCATCTGTTCCCAGTCTACTGTTCTCTTAGTCAGGGTTTCTATTGCTGTGATGAAACACCATGACCAAAATTTGGCTTACACTCCCATGTTGCTGTTCATTATTGAAGGAAGTCAGGACAGGAACTCAAACAGGGCAGGACCCTTTAGGCAGGAGCTGATACAGAGGCCGTGGAGGAGTGCTTACTGGCTTGCTCCTTATGGCTCGCTCAGCCTGCTTTCTTATAGAACCCAGGACCATCAGCCCAGGGATGACACCACGAACAATGGGCTGGGCCCTCCCCCATCAATCACTAATTAAGAAAATACCTTACAGCTGGATATTACAGAGGCATTTTCTCAATTGAAGTTCCTTCCTTGCAGGTAACTCTAGTTTGTGTGTGGAATTGACCTAAGACTAGCCAGCACCACTGTGGTGAGTTACCAGGTGGTTCTTTTCACTTTTAGGAATGAGTGTGTCAGTCTGCCTAATGGGTAGTGCTGGACAAGTAACATCTAAATGCGTGAGATGCAGAGCATTCCTGCTTCTGCATTTGCACTCAAAATGGAGCCCAATACTGCTTGTGAAATGGAGTCACCTGGGACAAGGCACAGATGGAGAGCCATTGTGTACTCAATATGGAGTCACTTAGAGCAAGGCAGAGCATGATCTCAACAAGTCCTTTTCCTTCTTCTTTCTCCACTTTAGAGGTTTGGTGGTGTCATCTCTTCAGCCACGCATTCCTAAGGATGGGTCCCAGCAGCCTCGAGGTCATTTCCTTTAGTTCTGACAAAGTGGGCCTCTCTGGCTGTGGCAGGCTCGCACTCCATTGAACCACTACCTTTCTCTTTAGTACCTTTCTTCTCCACGTTGTTTTCTTTTACCCATTTCAGGAAACCAATCTCTAGTCTTAAATGCTTAATAGTCTCAATATGCACATTAATTCTCTTGATAAGAATCTTGCCCTTAGCCAGGCTTCGTGAAGTATACCTTTAATCCTAGCACTCAGGAGGCAGAAGTAGATGGATCTCTGTAAGTCTGAGGCCAGCCTGGTCTACAAGAGTGAGTTCCAGGGCAGCCAGGTCTACAAAGAGAAACCCTGTCTCTGGGGAAAAAAAAAATCTTACCCTCAATTTTCTTGTTTTCAACAGTGCCAACATCATGAAGAGTAATAGTGTAGAGTCTTGTAGTTTTGCTATGGTACCTTACAGGGCATCCCTTTTTAACATTATCCATCCCCTTGATGTCTACCGTGTCACCCACCTTACAGATGTGGCCAAAGGAACAACTCCATGTTTTCTAAATGGCCCAGAGGATGTATATAGGGTGCGCCTCCTCTCTACCCTTGTTTTCCATTTTGGTGAATTACCAGAAGATGGTGGTTCAGCCCAAAAGTCCTCTCTAAATGACCCGTTTGCTTCACTGGTTGTCCCAGATGGGCACGACCCCTTGAGTGTGGCCTGTGGATTCTTTCCGGTGGTGACTGCTGTTGGATGGGTGAGCTCGTTTTTCCGTTTTGACTTTAACTTTTGTGTCGTTAGCTTTTGAGGCATTTGCAGTCCCTCTCACTCAGCCTTGTTGCTCTCTCAAGCCTCATTCCTCCCCCACGAAGAAAAGCTCGAAAATCCTCTTAGAGAGATCTCTTCGATCGTTGTAATTTTCTCTCCAAAACTATTACCGCCCCAGTTTCTTCCCTGGGAGTCAGATTTTAGATTGTCAGACCCCAGATTAAAGAGGCTGGGCATGGTGGCACACGCCTTTGATCCCAGTCCGTGGGAACGCGTGGCAGACAGATCTCTGTGAGTTAGAGACCAGCTTGATCTACGTAGCCAGTTCCAGGCCAGCCGGAGCTGGCTCAGTGATTAAACTCTCATGCCACGGTTACAAGGACCAGAGTTTGGTTGACGCACCCACATTGGGCAGTTCACAACTGCTTATAATTCCAGCTCCAGGAGGATAAAGTGCCTCTGACTTCTGTGGGCACACACACACACTCACACACACACACTCACACACACACACACACACACACACACACACACACACACACTCACACACACACACACACACACTCACACACACACACACACACACTCACACACACACACACACACACACACACACTTCAAAATAGAATTAATCTTTAAAAGTGACAAATTGAAATTTTCATAATTTCTTCACCCCTATGAATGTCTTACACATTCTCTAGGGCATTCAACCAATTTTAAAGACCACTGGCTAACAAAGGGGCCTGTCTTCTAGAGGCTATGCGAGGACAGTGGGATATCCAAAACAAACTCTAGTCTTCAGCTTCCGCCTCAGTTTTTCCATGTCCTGGTGGTGCCTGTTGGCGGTTTCATCGGCCAGACCATAGAAGGTGGTCCTGTACTTTGGAATATGTGACTTCGTGGCAGAGATTTTGTCACAAGCTTTGGGAAAATCCTTGGCTGAGGCTCAAACAGGAATCCAATTTTAATGTCCTGTTTATGGTCCTGTGAGCCAGACCTAATAAGCCTTACACTTAGTCTTTTAGAATCTGGTCCAAGGTAGCTCATTAGTGCAGTGGGTAGTACATCAGTCTTATAAAACATGATCCACAACCCCAGACTAGTCGACGCAAACTGCAGTTCTCAGGAAATACAGACTTCCTTCTTTTTTCCCTTTAGAAACTATTTGTCTTCTTATTTTCTGTTTGTTTTTAGGAAATAGACGGCAAGACACAAACATTGTAGAGTCTGAATTCCCCCATCATAGAGTGTGAATGCTGGTCAGGTCTTTGGCATGGATGACTTTGCCATCTTTGATGCCTTGCGTAGACATGGCAAGACTCTGCCCAGCAGCTTCATAAATAATGGCAATGTACCTAGAGTGACCCTAGAGTAAAGGCATGATATGTTTCAGACACTGGCCTCCTCTTGGAGTGGACTCAGCTGTTTAACTAGAACTGACCCCATACCCTGCTTCTAAGAGCACCTCTCTCAGAGCTTGGGTTCCCCTTTCTTTACTGTGTCCTAATTGTGCCAAAGCCTGGTCAATGAACATCTGTCCCGTTAGTTTCGTCCCTGGCCATATCTTCTCTTTGACTGTGGTTGATGTATGCTGGAGTCTACAGTTCTCCATCACTGTAAAAGGAAAAGAAAAGACAAAACAGAACGTGCCCCATTTGGGCTTAAATTCCTGATTCCAGGTTGTTTTCTCCTGTTTGGTCTTTCTCTTCATCCCAGAGTGTAATACAAAGTCCATCTGACTGAGTGCCCTGGTGATAAGATTCTGGGTGTAAACTTCTATTAGATTTCTAAGGAACGGACGGGGCTATAGTAAGCCCTTTTCTTTTGAGATAGTAAATAATCCAATACAGTTCTCTCTGAAAGTACGTGATCTTTACTTAAGGGAAAAGAAAGGTGACTTTTGCCTTGTAGGTAAAAATAATAATTACAGTTCTCTTTTTTAAAGTGTTTAGTATAGGCCAAGTACTATTCTAAACACAAGGATCTCTTTGCATTTAAAATTTTGTTTATTGAGACAAGGTCTTGCTATATAGCCCAGGGTGGGCCTTGAACTCATGATCCTTGGACATGATACTTGTTTAGTATAGACCAACTTTCAAATGTAGGCAACTGTTCACAGTCATGGCGTTCTCACTCTATTCCTGGAAGCCTTGTCCTCAGCAGCTGCCTCAAGTATACAGCACCACTGTTTTTTGGTTGTTGTTGTTGTTGTTTGTTTGTTTTTTGTTCTCCAAACACTGGGGTTCCGTATACGGTATTGTTTGAGAAGAGTGCTTCCTTCCGTTGCTAAAAGCAAATCTCACCAAAGCAGCGAACCACGTACTACCTGGGTCTCCTGCAAACATTGGTTTTTATCACATTGGAGATCTTATTTTCTTGTAAAGTAGGTTCCACTTCTAGAGAGGAAAAAAGTGCCCATTTTCCTGTTAGTCAAAGATGTTACCTCCTACCTGGTGGGATCTCTTGAGCATCGATGCCAGAAGCCTATCAGTAATTATTTCACAGTCTTAGGGGATGAGAAGCTAAGTCAACTGCTGGTCACGATGAATGTCACCTTTTTTTCCCTCCATAGAGAAACCCGTGCTTCAGAGCAGGCACTCTGTAGACGGTTCCAGATTAGCAGAGAAAGTTGAAACTGCTCAGCCGCTGTGGATAACGCTGGCGCTGCAGAAGCAGAAGGGGTTTCGTGAGCAGCAGGTAACCCGAGAGGAGAGGAAGCAAGCCCGGGAGGCCAAACAGGCCGAGAAGCTCTCCAAAGACACTGTGAGTAGCCCGCTCCGTTTCCAGCGTTGCCACCCTGTGCCTAGCTCGCGTCTGAGTCACGGGATATATTTTTAAGATGCCAACTGGAAGGGCTGTTTAGAAAGGGCAGCGAAATGAGTAAATTGACCACCTTTAAATCAGGGAAAGCGTTTTCCAGCATCAACTGTTAAATTTCATTTGGTTTTACTAGGCTTCTAGGCAAACCTTCTTTGGCAGAACCTAAAATGTCTGCATTTACCGCAGCAACTCACACGCGACGGTTACAGTGTGCCCCTGCCCACCGATCTGAGGTTTCACTTTCCCTGGTTTCGATGACTTGAGGGTCAACCATAATCTAGAAATATGAAGTGGAAAATTCCAGGGGTAACAATTCATAGGTTGAGATTGCCATTTTGTGTGACGAAATCTCTTGTTCTACTCCATGAGGCATGAATACTCTTTGTCCAGTGTATCTACACCATATATGCCAACCACCAGGTAATCACCTGATGGCCATTTTGGTTGTTAGATCCACTGTCAAAGGGTTCCAGTGTCTGTGCTCATCCTGTTTTACTTAAGAATGTCACCAAGGTGTGATTGTAATGATACTGGAGATTAACATATGCCAAGAAACTGTAAAGTACTTCCTGAGCTCTTGACACAAGCCAAAGTGATTGAAATCTAAGGTAAGGATGAAACAGAACAATCAGGGGTCAGCTCTGTCCCTGGTCTTAGACATCCGACAGGATCTTAGACTGTGTCCATCTTGGAGAAGGGAAACTACAATATGTGGAAGTGAATTTGTACAGTGGGCAGAGCGTATCAGGAGCCTTGTTCCATGACCTAACTTTAGGATCATCTTGATGGGGCTCTTCCTGGAAAGTAACTTCCCATCCTGGGTACATGGCCCTGAGCCCTCACTGGAGGCCTCCCTTGAACGCACTGCTCACAGGTGCAGCCCAGCCCCTCGCTGGGGTGCTGAGAGGTCATGCACTGAAGACATGCTTTCCCTGTCATTTCCAACGCAGGTCAGTGTCAGCCCACAGCCTGGAAGCAGCCGAGTAAGCAGAGCTGGTTCCCTGCACAAGTCCGCCACTCCGTCAGAAGAGAAAAAGCCCGAAACGGCAGTGTCCAGGCTCCAGCGCAGAGAACAACTGAAAAAAGCCAACACTCTCCCCACATCCGTGACAGGTAGAGAGCAGGTCCATCCCTGTTGGCCTGTAGTCCATCACTGTTTTCCCTACACTCTCCCCACATCCGTGACAGGTAGAGAGCAGGTCCATCCCTGTTGGCCTGTAGTCCATCACTGTTTTCCCTGAGAGCATCTTTGTTTTCCACCGTGGAGTGACTTGGCACAGCATCTTAGACAACACAGGGCACAGGCTCTCAAGACCCAGTTGTAAACTCTGATGCTGATGCAGACCGCAGGGATTCCCCAGCTGCTCTTGGAGGAGAGACAGTGAAACGCTTTGGAGTCATCTCCTTGGGGTTTGTAGCCTTTACTGTCTTCCGTGGTCTAAATACTTCAACTGTGGCTAATTTGAAGCTGCTAATGTGACAGACACCGACTGGCTTGCCCTGGTTTCTGAACATTTAACAGTACAATGTGAGTCATCACCGGTACCTCCCTGCCTATCATCCAGTTTTATTATCTATCATCTATCTGTCTATCATCTATCTATCTGTCTGCCTGTCTTTCTTTTATCTTATGTATTTGCTACAGCAAGGAATAGCATGTGCCAGAACATTAAATAGAGAAAGAGGAGTATAATAGGATTGGGGAAGGTAAGGTGTAAAGTTTAGATAAACTGGAGTGAGCCTGGGCTTGGAAGCAGACCCCAGGGACCTGTCATCCAACATGACGAAGTCGAGATAAGCGTGTGGAAGCCACCTCCGGCCCTCTGTGCGGAGGCTGGAAGTGGAAGCTGCCCCTCGGTCCTGATGCCTCACAGCTCAGATGCTGCGGCCTCTCCGCTGATGGGATTCCAAGAGGAGGTCTCTGATTGGCTGACTTTACAGAGACCGTGTCCTCAGCACCGCGTCCTGGGCGTTAATTAACAACAGCCATCTCTACTTGTTCACAGCACATGAAAGACGTGAAAACTGAACTGGCCCAGTAGTTGGCAACTCTTTCCTCGCTACAAGTCACTGGAAGATGGGCAGTTCTGAATTACATGTACTCCCAGGGACTAACAGGGCATCCGCTTCTCCGTGGGGCTGTGTTGCTCCCCAGAGGGCACGGCTGTCCTGGTCCCTTTTCAGGTGGCTAACAGAATACCCAAAGATGGGTAACTTATCAAGCTGGGAGGGCCCTGTGCTGCTTCATCTTAGGTTGGAGAGCAGATGGACAAGTGTGTACACAGAGAGAGAGAGAAAAAGCAGGTGAGCTCCTACGGCAGTGTGAGGAAATCATGAATCTACTTGTGAGGGCTGCCCCCAACACCCAAGCACACACCACTAGACTTCTGCCTCCCAACACTGAAGAATTCAGTGCCTCCACACCAGAGAATTAGCGTTCCTACGTGTGAACACTGGGGAGATAGTTCAAACCGGAGCTCTATCTAAGCCGCAGCCCCAGCCCCGCCGGTGCCTTGGCCGCCTGCTCCCCGAGGTCTGGAGATGTGGACATGTTAAAAAAAGGTTTCTCCACTTAGTGGTGGAATCGGAGTGCTTATATACCAGAACTACCTTAGAACACTGATCTCTGGGACCCCTAAGTGTTCTTTCATTTGCTCTTACGTTGAGGGTTCTAAATGTTAGACTGATATCGGGGACTAAGGGGGTCCAGCCCCTCGATAGTCCCCTCCCGGGGTCAGGGAAGAATCTACAACCAGCTGATAATTAATCTTTGATGATAGGAAATGAATCTATGTACACAAAACTCCTTAGTCCATACACTTTATTATTCTGTGTCAGTTACAAGCTTCTATTCTGCTCTCATTTTTAGCTCCTTTCTTGCCTGATTTCTCTCTACACTTGTCTGCGGTCCCCTCTAGGTTCTATCTTAATTCCTTCATCTGGTTCTGCCCCTTCTAGGTTCTCATCCATCTTGTTCCTTCCCATATCATCTCCTTTGCCATCTCCTTCTCTCTCCTCATCTCGTTCTTCCTCATCTCGTTCTTCCCCATCTGGCTCTTCCTCATCTTCCATCTCGTTCCTCTAGTCCTCTCTTCTAGCCCTTCAATCTAGTTCTTCCCCATCTCAGTTTGTTCCTCTCAAGTTCTTACCCATCTAGTTCTTCCAGTCTCTTTTCTCTTCTCGGTCCTGTGCCCTGGAAGTCCCCATATATAAAGGGAGGGTCCGAGCTAAATTGTGTAAAGCTATTACTTAACGTCCACCTCTCCTAGGCGATGTTTCCTTGTGGAATTTACCATAAGTCAGGAGACTTGCATGTGGGCTGCTATCACTGTTAGTTCTTGAAAGTTGGGGCCCACCTGGGCGGTGTCTCCTTGTGGAATTTAAGTCAGGAGACTTGCATGTGGGCTGTTATCATTGTTAGTTTTCGGAAGTTGGGCGCCCACCTGGGCGGTGTTTCCTGTAGTCCTTGAAAGTGGCTAAGGGAGATATCTGATTCCAGAGAAAGCCTTTCCCGAGGCTGTTCTCCAAATACCTGGAATGTGTATGTCCAGAGAGTGATCAGTCCACACTGTTAGTCCTTCTTAGGGGGAAGTCAATTGGAAAAACTATGAAGGCACACATGATTTTCATAACAGAAGACAGCTGATATATAACAAGCCAAGTAACACCAAAAACTCCTTGGGATTTGGCTTCCTCTGGAGGAATTCCCTGATTCCTCCAGGTAGTGACTTTGCCATAACCAGCTGAGTTCTTATGATATATTCCTGCGGCCTGCAGCAGACTGAGACTGAGAGCTTTTTGTTGTTGGTTTTTTGTTTTGTTTTGTTTTCCATACTAAAGTGGAAGCTGCAAGGCCCACGAGGTCATTCCTTTCTCTGGCCAATTGGAAGTATACAAGGATTATCACACCTTATAACAGCGCAAGCTTAATAGAGCAAGCCTGTGTTTGAAGTGTCTGTCTTCACGTTCAGTTAGTATGCCGAGTTCTAGAAGCATATATGCTGACCACATCCCTGGGCACCGAAGTTGTGAACCCCCTGAACCTCTTTCAGGGAATCTCCTCACAGAAGCCTAGCTCTCTAGTGAAGAAAGCAGGATAGTCAGGCCTGATAGCCTGCAACTCTTAGCCCTTGGGAGCCTGAGTCAGGAGGATTCCCATGAGTTTGAGGCCAGCCTGAGCTACAGTAGTCTCAAAAAAAAAAAAAAAAAAAGATGGGGAGCAAAGGAATTACTAGACAAGACATTACCAGTCTTAAGAATTGGCAATAGCTTCCCCTTGGGGCTGAGGTAGAGAAACTAGGAGAGAGACACTTTGTGGAGGTGGTAGCTTGCTATTAACCTCGCCACCTTTCCAGGCCCCGTGGCTCACCTTGTCATCTCAGCACTTGGGAGGCTGAGGCAGGAAGACCAGGAGTTCGGGGCCGGAGAAGTTCCAAGGCATGCCCTCTCATGCCTGGCTTGAATTTCTTACCTCTAAATAAGTCAAAATCTTGTTCTGGAGGAGACCACCAGGGAAATGTTTGCTAATGGGTACAACATTTCAGAGAAGTTCAGTGGTAGGTGCCTTTAATCCCAGAACTCAGGAGGCAGAGGCAGGTGGATCTCTGTGAGTTGGAGGCCAGCCTGGTCTAGAGATCGAGTTTCAGGACAGCCAGGACTCTTACACAGAGAAACCCTGTCTCAAAAAAATCAAAAGGAAAGAAAAGAAAATCTGTTGTGTAACACAGTGACCATAGCTAACAGTCCTACTGGATTCTTAAGGTGCTGAGAGTAGATTTTAAATGTTCTTACATAATTTTGTGAACAACAATTAGCTAGATTTAGCTGTTCAGGTGTGTGTGTGTGCGCTGTGAACAGCATTCCATGTAGAGTAAGTATATATAATTCTATTAATTAAAATGTTTGTTTTTATGTGGTTTTTACTATTTCTCTTTTCCTTCAAAACAACGCAGTGGAGATCTCAGACTCGGCGCCCCCAGCCCCGCTGGTAAAAGAGGTCACCAAGAGATTCTCCACCCCAGACGCTGCCCCCGCATCTACAGAACCTGCCTGGCTGGCTTTGGCCAAAAGAAAAGCAAAGGCCTGGAGCGACTGCCCGCAAATCATTAAGTAAACAGTGACTCCTCCCCAGTTCTGCGGCCAGTCATTGGCTCTTCTCTTGCCCTTTTTATTTATTTATTTTTTATATGAGGTACAGAAACCAAGCGAGGGAAAAGAAGCATGTTTTATAGGCTCTAAAATAATGTTCAGACACTGCACTGGTGGTGGTCATTGTAAAGAGTGTGTATTTGCACAACCCTGGGTCCTGGTGCCTTGAGCTCACCCTAGTTCTCAAGAGACAGTTTTGTCTGAGGGACCACATGAAGCAAAATCTGCAAATGAGAGCTCAGGAGAGCGTGCCATGCCCATCCATGGCCTTCTCACACATATGCACACCCATGCACCATTTCAGAACATATCCTTTTGCCAATCTTTGTAAATTTTTTTTGATTCTCTACTCTTCTATCCCAAACATTTATCCTGCTGTGTTTGCATATGTAACAGTGACATATGTTCACGTGTACATAAAACATGGTGTCACTCTCCTGAAGGCAGTAACTGGAAAATAAGGAAAAGCTGGCTCCCAACTCTGTGCCTATGTCTGGTTTTCATGAATTTCTCCCCACCCTAAAACCACAACATAGCAAATCCATTCATACTCATACTCCATGGTATGCCCTGTCATACCAGTACCCTTTTAAAGACACAGGGACCATTTGGCCGAGCTGGCTCCTAAGGAACATTTGTATTTAATTTGGAGAAAAGGAAATTCTGTGACAGAGTTGTCTCTGAGAATCTCCATGTAGTACGGGGGCTCTTCAGCAGCCCAGGCATTCTGATATAATCCAAACGTTAAGAACCTTGTGGCATGACAACTCTGGTGTAATCTAGCTTTTCACACTGGGAAGAGAAGGCTTGTCCACCCAAAGATGCAAAAGTGAGACAAGAAAATAAAACCATCACCCCAAACAGCCATCTCTGTAAGATAGTTTAGGTTGCTGGCAGTCCATGCCTCTGGAATTTCCCCTTGGCCTTTAGGGAAAATGAACAAGCCAAGATGTGTAACCTATTTGTTCTAAGGACTTCCTTTATTGTACTTGAATACTTCAGAGTCGAATGTTCCAAAGCATTTAAAATTTAGAGCATTCACCTTGATACCTTTAAAAAAAAAAAAAGAAGCATCTCAGAGTTTTACGTGGCCTTGTTATCATACACATGTGCATACAGAAAAGGGACTTGGCAGTTTCAAAGCCACATGTACTTAGGTTGGATTCTCTAGATTTGCTTTACATGACACTAGACATACCAGCAAATGCCTACGTACTGCTGGCACTCACTTTGTATTTCATGGTGTTGGCATATTTTCCTTTCACAGGGGCGGCTTCTTTGCCCAGTGCAGGGGGAGTTGCGCCCCTTTTTTCTCCCACACTGACACGTTTGGTAGCAGACGTCACTCCTTTTCCTCTGTGCTTACTCAATATGCAATGTGCTGTTGTTCTGTCTACGCTGCGGGATTACAGGGATGCTGTTTACCACATAGAAACCATTTTCTCTCTAGAAACAGTGGCTCAGCCTCAGAAGCAGCTGGCATGTGTGGTCAAGTGGAAGGCCGTACTGTTGCAAGTTGGATTTAGTGTTATAGATACTGGACCTTCCGACTGTTAAGAATCAATGGAACTTTGTTGTTGTTGTTACTACTACTGTAAGCAACGAATACTCCACTGCACGTTTCCCACACTGGTGTTCATTTCTAAATTTTATGTGTAGACAGTTGTTAGTTCAATGCTTTCCTCACTGACATAATAACACTTTTGAATGGGAATCTTCCCACCCAAAGCCCTAGAATTACAGTGCCACAGTGATTCTTCCAAACCGACTTCTTCTTCCATCCCCTCAGCTTTGGCCAGTACACAGTCCTGGCAGTGAACAGGTACAGAAATAAGATGGCTAAGAAAGAACAGGGCTGGGCATGGTGGTGCACACACCTTCTACCCTAGCATTTGGGAGGCAGAGGCAGGTGGATCTCTGTGTGTTCAAGGCCGGCCTGGTCTACATAATGAGTTCCAGGCCAGCCAAGGCTACATAGTGGAGACCCTGTCTCAGAACAAGCAAATTAAAGAAAACCTAGTAGATGCGTCGATACTGACTCGATACCACGACACAGCTTAGTTAAAGTCCCCCACCACTATCTTTAAAGGAGAATCCACTGAGGAAAGGGCCGCCATCGTTCTTGCTGACAAGTGCATCTTTTACATTTCATGTACAAGTCACCCAGACCTGCACTAAATACCAATGAAGTGTTACTCTGCTTCAGTTGTTGCACTTTGCTGAGCAACACACTATGGGGAAGTTCTGTGAAAACAAAAAGTTCGACTTTTTTTTAAATGAATGACTGCTATATTAAATATACAGGCTTTTTTTTTTTTTTAGTTTAAACACACTTCTTATGGTAAGGTTATAGATGATTAACCTCTGTTCATAGACTTATATATGGAAGTAGAGTCTTTTGTTTACTTTAAAAATGTTTCAAGTGCAATTGTTTATTATCAAACCTGATTGATTACCATTAAATTCTCGTTTTAGCTGGTTATCTACAAATGTATGGTATGTAGCCACTGCCCCTTCTTGTGATGTTTAGTTTGCTTATTTTAAAGCAGCAACATTAGCTACAAGTGTCTTGCAATATTTTTACCAACAATAAAATTAAGTAGATACTTAATAAAAAATTCCTTAGTGTGATTTTAATATTATTTTGAGATTTTGGTTGTATACAGTTTGAATGTAAAAAGAAAATGTCCATTATTTAAGGGAAAAGACCTTTCAATAAAATACTGACAAGACCTTTGGCACTGATGGAATGTCCTTATTAAGCTGAAGTTCTGACTGATTTCAAGAGCTATCTACGAGCAGTTTCTTATTTACAGAGTTTTGGATGAACAAGAAAATTTTCAAGTTGTTTCTAATGCGACTTTATTTTTCCCCGTCCTTGTTTGGTTTTCCTCTCTGCTCTTTGCGGCCCGCCACCCAGCTCCCAAAGAAATCACACATGGAGGCTTATTCTTAATTATCAATGCCTGGCTTTAGCTTGGCTTGTTTCTAGCCGGCTTTTCTTAATTTTAAATTATCCCGTCTACCTTTTGCATCCCGGCTTTTTCCTTTTCTTACTTCTGTAACCTTACTTTCACTCTTACTCCATGGCTGGCTGTGTGGCTGGGTAGCTGGGTGGCCAGGTGGCTGTGTGGCTGGGTGGCTGGGTGGCTGGGTGGCTGTGTAGCTGGGTGGCTGGGTGGCTGTGTGGCTGGGTGGCTGGGTGGCTGTGTAGCTGGGTGGCTGTGTGGCCGGGTGACTGGGTGGCTGGGTGGCCGGGTGGCTGTGTGGCTGGGTGGCCGGGTGGCTGGGTGGCCGTGTGGCTGGGTAGCTGTGTGGCCGGGTGGCCGGGTGGCCGGGTGGCCGGGTGGCCGTGTGGCCGGGTGGCCGGGTGGCCGGGTGGCCGGGTGGCCGGGTGGCCGTGTGGCCGGGTGGCCGGGTGGCCGGGTGGCCGGGTGGCCGTGTGGCCGGGTGGCCGGGTGGCCGTGTGGCCGGGTGGCCGGGTGGCCGGGTGGCCGGGTGGCCGGGTGGCCGGGTGACCGGGTGGCCGGGTGGCCGTGTGGCCGGGTGGCCGGGTGGCCGGGTGGCCGGGTGGCCGGGTGGCTGTGTGGCCGGGTGGCTGTGTGGCTGTGTTGCTGTGTGGCCGGGTGGCCGGGTGGCCGGGTGGCCGTGTGGCTGGGTGGCTGGGTGGCCGGGTGGCCGGGTGGCTGTATGGCTGGGTGGCTGGGTGGCTGTGTGGCTGGGTGGCTGGGTGGCCGGGTGGCCGGGTGGCTGTGTGGCCGGGTGGCTGTGTGGCTGTGTAGCTGTGTGGCCGGGTGGCTGGGTGGCCGGGTGGCTACCCCTGAAGTTCTCCTCCTTCCTCTCTTGCTCCCTCTTCCTTTTCTCCCAGATCTCTCCTATTTCTTCTCTCCGCCTGCCAGCCCCGCCTGTCCTTTCTCCTGCCTCACCATTGGCCGTTCAGTTCTTTATTAGACCATCAGGTGTTTTAGACAGGCACAGTAACACAGCTTCACGGAGTTTAAGAAATGCTACATAAACAAAAGTAACACACCTTAAAATAATATTCCCCAACATGCCCCAATATATGAATGAATGATGAATATATGAACAAGGCCAAATGCTTTTCTCAATTCCAGACAGGAAGTAAGTGATCTGAGTCTCAGATAAAATGATCTTGCAGTCTCCTTACGGTAGGCCACAGCTCAGCAGCATCAGCCTCAGCTGAGGACCAGCTACCACAGGGCTACACCTGGACCCTCTGAACATCTCACCTGCAAAGACAACTTGGTGAAAAACTGTGAGGTTGGCTTGGGCTGCATAGCAAGAATTACAAATGCCTAACATCACCATATTATCAAGTCGAAACTGTGTGTGTGTGCATGTGCGTGTGCATAATGCATAACTTGGGCATTTTTGCCCGCTTAAAAATACTAAATAAGGGTGGTGGTGGTGGTGGCGGCGGCGGCGGCAGCGCATGCCTTTAATCCCAGCACTCAGGAGGCAGAACCAGGCAGATCTCTGTGAGTTCAAGGCCAGGCTGGGCTACCAAGTGAGTTCCAGGAAAGGCGCAAAGCTACACAGAGAAACTCTGTCTCGAAAAACAAAAAACAAAAACTAAATAAAGACCTAGGTTATAGTCCAATGATAGAGTGCTTGCCTAGTAGGAACAAAGCCCTGGGTTCAAGTCCCAGCAATGCACATACATGTTTCCTCCCTCTCTCTCTGTTTCAAAATAAGGAACCTAAGTTGATAAATAAATCCTACCGTTAAAAACCTTTAGGTCAGTCTACAGAGATGGTTCATTGGTTAAGAGTTCTTGCCTCATACAGAGGACTCAGGCTCAGTTCCTAGCATCTACATGGTGGCTCACTCCAGCTACAGAGCTTCCCATGTATTCTTCTGGTCTCTGGAGGGAATGCACACACATGGTACACTTACATATATTCAGGCAAAACACAAAAGATAAAAATCTTTTTTAAATTTCAGTATAAATAGTAAATGATGTATTCTGTTTACAACTCACAAAACATATTCTGATCCTTTCTTTTCCACAGAGATCTTTAAATGCCTGGAAACTCACAAAACTACCTTAATGTATTAGGGTTCTCTAAAGAAACATAACTGATTAATATATTCAGCTAGGTGGAGAGAGAGAAAAGAAGGGTTATTTATCTACTTCTTGTGACGTGTACAGCCTAATATGATGGCTCCAGAGAACCAACTGATGTCCATAAAAGATCCAAGACCATGAGGGTGTGGAGACTGGGAAGTGCCACCATGTGTTGCTCACACACTAGAGACCTGTAGAACCTGTGGTACAGTTCAATTCAGATAAAGGCCAGAGGCGGCAAGACCAGGGAGCCGATGATGTTACCTGCAGGCCTGAGCAGCAAGGAGATACAATTGCTGCTGCTGAGTCTCTTCCCTAACCAGGAGCTCTGGTATCCAGGGGCATGGAAACACAGGGAGGCTTGCTCAGGAAGACAGTTTCCCTTCCCCCCCTTCTTCTACCCAGGCACTCACTGTTGACTTCAAATGCTAACGGGTTCACAAATGGCCTCACATCCACACCAGGATCTGGTGTTTTACCAGCTGCCTTTGTTCACTTTACCCATGACTGAATCTCACAAACTGACGATAACAAATAAAGGTTTATTTAGCTCTCAGTTCTGGAATCTGAGGAGTTCAAGGGCCAGTGGCCACATCTGGTTGTACGTCCCTTACTGACAGAGACCTTCTGCAGAATCTCAGCCAAGGTGATGCTGGGTATCACACGGCAAAGCAGAGCACACTGGCCTGGTCTCTCCTCTTACAAAGTTCCAGTTCCTCAGGGTCAGCAGCATCCTCCCTGCAACACACACACACACACACACACACACACACACACACACACACACACACACACACACTCGAACCCATGTAATCTTAATCATCGCTCCAAGGTGCCACCCCTAAGTACCATAGTGGAGTTATGTTCCCACCTTCTTAATTCCACACAGTAGGGGTGTTTTGATGGAGATCTTTCAAACCAGAACAGCATCCTTTTGACCAATTAAAAAAAAAAAATGTTTCCAAAACATACATCTGTCCTAGTTAGGATTACTGTTGCTGTGATGAAACACCATGACCAAAAGCACGTTAGGGAGGAAAGGGTTTACTTGGCTTACTTCCCCATCACCGTCCATCACTGAATCACTGAAGGAAGTTAGGACAGGAACTCAAGCAGGGCAGGAACCTGGAGGCAGGAGCTGATGCAGAGGCCATGGAGAGGTGCTGCTTACTGGTTTGCCCCCCATGGCTTGATCAATCTGCTAAAGAAGCCAGAAACACCAGCCCAGGGGGTGGTACCACCCACAATGGGCTGGGCCCTCCCCCACCAATCACTAATTAAGAAAATGTTCTATAGGCTTGCTTATAGCCCTATCTTATGGAGGCATTTTTCTCAGTTGAGGTTCAAGTTGACATAAAACTAGCCAGCACACCACCACACATAATTCAAAGAGCTACAAAATACACCAGGTGTGGGCTGGAGAGATGGCTCAGTGGTTAAAAGCATTGGCACCTCTTCCAGAGGTCCTGAGTTCAATTCCTAGCAACAACATGGTGGCTCCCAACCATCTGTAATGTGATCTGATGCCCTCTTCTGGCCTGCAAGTATACATGCAGATAGAACATCATATATATAAAATAAATAAATCTTAAAAATTTATTTAAAAAAATACAGCAGGTATTTTGTCCTCTCTTCCTAGAAGCTCCTGATGCTTCCATAGGAAATAAACATGGCTGCTCTCTATTGAAGTACAGTAGACAAATTCCTTAACCAAAATAAAATCTTTAATAGAAAACCATCCAGGTAGATTTACAGTATTTCCATCTCACACATATATACTTATGAGGACTTATTGGTTACTTTTATCACCACACAGTAAGTCCAGACAGTAGATATAATTATTTCTGCACCCAATAATAAGCATCGATTCCCAGACCACAGGAGAAGAGAAGACTTCCCCAGGGAGTTCATACACACTTCGAAGCTCTCCACTCTGAGACTCAAGGATCCACAGTTTCCCATCAGTAGATGCGGCTGCTAGCAGAGTTTCACTGCTACCGCTCTGGTTACTGAAAGCGAAGGGTGTGGCGTACACCCTCGCTGTGGTCTCAAATTTCCACTGGAGGTGACCTTCCATGCTACAGCAGTAGAGAAAGCAATCATGGGAACCAAAAAACAGTTCTTGTTCTGATGCCGAGATACATGGTGACGAAAAGACTGGTCCTCCAGCAGAGAAGCGCCAAACCTTTAAGGGAGAAGAGGAGCAACAATCAGTCATTCATCCAGTTGTAACACGCTAAGTCTGACGAGGTTTCTTCACACAGACGGAAGAAGTAAGATGGAGACAACAGAGGAACTCCATACACCAAAAATAATGCCGGCTTCTGGAAAGTAGCATCCTCACACTAGACTGATCCAGTGGTAAAGACCAGGACAAGACACACTACAACATGATAACATTATTACAATTAATGTTGAGCAGACTTGAGAATTACTACTGGTAAGTTCAGGGACACCGTGTTTAAAGAAAAAAAAAATCACATTATGTCTTCAATGTGTGTTATTAAAAACAATCTTGGACAGGGGGTGGAACTTGGCCTTGGTTCCAAATCCAGCTCTAGAAAAAAGGAAAAAGGGGAAAAACGTCTAACTCAAGTTTTCCAAACAAAGCGAGGAGGAGCTGGACTGAAAAGAGTTTAAGTG